ACACTATTTCTTCTTTTATTACTGTTAGCGACTCGATGGAAGTAAGCTGAGTTCTTATCCCCAACTTTAAGCCAAAACTCCCGAGACTTCTGCCGCCAAGAAATTTCATCCATAAGAATGACACGATCCAATTCACACTTTAAGAGACTTCTTTCAACAATGCTGGAATCATTAGTCAGACCACGTTCATTAGCATCATCAATCTCTTTGATTCTCCTGATGAGATTCTCAATCCTTCTGTGAGTTCTGCCAAAAATTTCAACATTCCAAATTTTGATAAGTTGCTTGCATTGTCTCAGTCGTTGTCCCACACGGAATAGAAGGCCCGAACCATTGATAGGAACATTCCACCAACCAATTAAGCCCTGCAAAAAGGATTCTTCGAGGAGCCACATATTTTCGAATCTCCACGGTCTATGAACCCTCTCAACCGAGCCCCAACTAACCATGATCGGATTGTGGTCAGAATCAATTCTTTCAAACACTTGAAGCGGACCGAGAGAAAAGGTTTCCTCGAACCTCAAGTTTGTGAGCGCCCTGTCAATCCGAGAAAAGGAGTCATCCCTGCCACTTCCACTTCTGGTATACGCAGCACCCCTCAAAGGTAGGTCAATCAAACCATTACGATTAATGAAACTGTTGAACTCGCTCATCATCTCCCTGCAGCGTGGGGCGCCGATAAAATCTTCATCGCTTCGTACGAGGTTGTAGTCTCCAATCAAACAAACTGGGCCATCATAGACTTGGCAAATATGATCGAGTTCCCTAATGAAAGCCAGTTTACCTTCTTTGTCGTGGGGACCATAGACAAACACAAGGGCCAAAGTGCCAATATTTCGAGTGATATTCAGTCTAACTGCCAGAGAAAAAACACCTTCCCAATAATCAATTAAGCTGTATAGAGACTTATCCCAAAAGATAACAATTCTGCCACGAGAGTCGTGAGCATCTTTAGCCACCCAATCCGTATTTCTACTTCCACTAACTGAGGAGACTAGGAATTGAGAGCATTCCTTCCACTTAGTTTCCAAGAGTCCCACAACAGAAGCATTCCATCTTTTAACAAGAGTCTTGATCCTTGCCCGTTTATCAGGGGCACCCAAACCGCGAACATTCCACGAAACGATTGAATCCAGCATGGAGGAAAATGAGTCAAGACAAGAACCTGAGCGCGGCTCCTATGCGTCCAACCTGGGCGCCAAATCATCATCTTTACCTTTCCAATACCTTGTTCGGGACAGAGGGGTTGTCTGAGAAAAAGCTTGCGGACCCAACCGATGCACCTCCATCTGCAACTTAGTTCTGCGCCTTCGCCTTTTTTCATTGTTGGAGATGGTCGCTAATTCCTCGAATTGTTCATCTGCTGATTTCCCCAAATCGGAGGTAGAGAGTTTAAGAAGTTGCCGGAAGACCTTGCCGACCACAACCAGGCGAATTAAATCTTGGTCTTCTCTCCCAGACGTGAGGTACTCGTGATCAAAGGGTTGGTATTCGATGATTGCCAGGGGGTTTTGGTCAGGGACGGGGGAAGAGGGAAAATCTTCGGGGGAGGGGGGAAGCTCCACGGTTAAGGATGAAAGATCAGTGCTAGCGGGTTCAGGGCAGTCGACAGAATGAGGAGTAGGAAGGGGGGGAACGGATAGATAAGGATGAGAAAGAAAGGTTAACAAGAAGGAGGTAACGAAGGGGTCCTGGATTGTTTGAGGGATGTGGTTGAGGTTCACAATCAGGTGTATGGGCTTGGATAGAGGCGACGTGATGAAGATTTGGGACGGATAGTGGGTGAAAACCGGAACCAGGCTAGATATCGAGCTGGGTTTGCACAACTGATGAAGGGATGGGCTAGGAGGATTTGGGATAACAGACATGGGCTGGGTTAGGGGTTTAGGGAGAGGCCCAAATTTCCTTACCCACTGACGGGGAAGGGGCCGAGAGATAGGCAAGGGGGGTTGGAGTTCACGAGGGCTAGCTGAATGCAATTTATAGGATTGCCCAATAGGAGGGGAAGGAGTAATTAGGCTTGCACTAGGGTCTAAGAGCTCTGACCTGTCGGGACTGTTCATTTTCCAAGGACCATGTTCCATACCAAATTCCTGAGACTCCGCCGTCGGCGGGACAAAGATGGTGACCGAAAACCGGGATGACCTGAACACGATAGGAATTTCTGATGGAAAAGGGCCTTCCTCTCGGATTTTGAGAAGAACGAAAGGATCTTCCAGGTTAATCCAATCCGCATCGACAAAACCCCCACATAGATCGCTCACCCTCTTCAGGACACCTCTAATACGCAGGTGAAGTGGGATACCAAACGCCATAATCCATTTCAGGCCACCTTGGCACTTGAAGTACCTGCTGTCATCTTCCTTCCAGAATCTGAGAACCACATTAAAAGATTTGAACTTCTTAATCCTTGTAGATTGGACGCGGATGGCTTCGTGACGCGTTGGGCACTCGAGCATCCAAGCATCTCCCACCCTTCTGGAGAAACGAAAACCATCATCCAAGTTCCATGCCTTCCGCGCCCACAAAATGAAGTCCTCTTGATGATCCACTGGGAGACCCCTGTTCAGCACATCAAAGAAATCCAAGATAAAAAATCTATCAAGCAGACGCATCTTTCTTTCAATTCCATCTTCAGCTGCTTCAATGTAACAGTTTCCATCCAAATAAACATTCCCAGCTTTCCTTGGCTCCGAAGTCAGGCCCTCCTTCAGAGCTGACGCGAAGGATCTTCCTGGGATCACAAAGGAATCCCGACCCAAAGCGCGAGGATGCATCTTAGTAATCGGCCGGAGAGAAAGAAAGACCCTGCTAATCTTGGTCAAAGAACAGGATTCAACAGGAAAGATGATGTAGGAGGTCCTGCCACCCTTCGAGACCTCCGAAATTTTCAGACCCCTGCCGAAACGATTCAAGAGAAAAGAGAAGGAGATTCTCCGCCCACGAAATAACTTAGATCCTTTCTCCGAAGTATATCTCCTTTGAGCATAAAGGTTACCGAGAATGGAGCCCAGCCAGCCGGCGTGCTCATGTTCGAGGAATATGAACCGTCGTCGATTATCTTCAATGACAGAAAGCTTAAGGAATATCTCCTTCCCAGAACTTAACTCTTCCAACACCAACTGCTTATGTCCGACCTGAATAGTTTGTCGTTGATGCCCCTTGGGATTGCCATGCCGCGAATGCTGCCTTGCCGGAGACCTGCAAAAGGAAACAGACGCTCTCGAACACTCCCCAAACCCACTCTCACTCACACGCTCTCTGTGTAACTCTCTCTCACTAGAAATTGCTCTCTCTCTAGAATAGATCATATTATAAAAGTTGCCATGCCGCGAATGCTGCCTTGCCGGAGACCTGTAAAAGGAAACAGACGCTCTCGAACACTCCCCAAACCCACTCTCACTCACACGCTCTCTGTGTAACTCTCTCTCACTAGAAATCATGCTGGTAACTTGGACACGGCACCACCTACCTACCTTACCTAATGATGAGCCACCCTAGCTAGCTAGCTTTTTGGAGATGAAAACGGAAATCAACAACCCAATCTCACTTCCACGACTGAAAAAGGAAATCAAACCTGGGTCGAGGCTGCTGACGGCGAGCGACGTCGAGGAAGGGGGCACTGGGTCGAGGCGGCCGACGGCGAGCGGCGTCGAGGAAGCGGGGACCTGGGTCGACGAGGCCGACGGCGAGGAAGCGCAGAGCTGGGTCGAGAAGAGGGCAGCGCCGGCGAGGAGTGGCGAGTGGAGCGCCGGCGTGGCGCGACGAGGGGAGCGCCGACGGCGAGCGGCTGCGCTGTGCTGGTTGTTGCCGCAGGTATTCTCTGCTCTGCTGGCTGGGCTCGACGAGGGAGGGAGGAGATTTGGGAACGGCGGACGGGTATTAGGGTTATTGAAGTTGGAAGAAGTTCCAACCAGTCAAAAACGACGCCATTTTCCTCAAAACCGGTAGCCGGATCAGTCCGGTCATACCCCGATTTCCCCCGGTTTTGACCGGCTACCGGCCAACTCTAATTATGGCTGGTTCTGGCCTTTTTAGTGCCCGGTTCCGGTCAGACCCGGTTCGACCGGCCGTTTCGACCCCGATTTGACAACCATGGTTTAGACATAAAATCTATTGTCCTCTTCCTCTGCTCGCGACCTGTATGTATATATGGTTTCCAGGGAGTTGACTGCAGATGAGAAGTTTCGGATTGTGAGTAGCGTCGGAGAAGAATGTATTCAAGAGGATGAGCTTCTCAATCTTCTAACGAAGGAACCCCAGCCGATTTGCTACGACGGATTCGAGCCTTCCGGCAGAATGCACATAGCCCAGGTACCTCTTAACTTTTTCTTCTCTTTGCTAAGCAATCACTACAACAGAAATGGGCTTTTATGATGAAAGTAAATGGTCACGAAATGTCAAATTTTAGTCACAAAACTTATTTAGTTACCAAATTTTTTTGGTTGAAGCTTTGGTCACATTCGCCCCGTTAGGAAAAGTAATTTCTGACCAAATCTTAGATTTGGTCACAATATATATGAATTTGTGACGAAATACAGTAATGGTCACAAAAATAATTTTTTATGTGACCAAAGTAATTTGTCATAAAAAAACTGTCAAAATTGTCATGAAAAATATGCAATTGGTCACAAATATTATAAAAGCTAACCAATTTATTTCTCTTTTATTGACCAAATGAAAAAGTCACAAAATCAATTATTTATAACCAATAAATTTGATTATCAAAATGTGATCCATAACTAATTTAATCATCTTTGAGTAACCAAAAGTAATGGTTATGAAACTGTTGTCGCAATCATTATTTTTGGTTAGCATACGTTCTAATTGGGACATTATTTTGGCCATTAAAAGTATATTTTGTGACCAATTCACTAGTTTTGAAGCAATTATTATATTGGTCACAAGGTATTATTTCCTACTGATATCTTATGGATACTATATATTCTAAAGTTGATATGCTACAATAATATGACCATTAATTTGGTTTTCGAAATAGCATAATGCATCAATATATTGTTACAATAACAACAATTCACATCAATCAAAAGAAATTGTTGTCAAAACATTGTCACATCACATTGGCCCAAAATCTGGCGTTTTATTCATAAAAAATTATACAAGATCTGCAAACTCCCTCTTGTGCGACTTTCTCCATGTTACGAGCACTGGACACATACATCACTTTCAGAAGTAGTATAGATGCGAGCTTAATGACTCCCACGATTCAATAATGCCAGGCAATTTCAACTTCTGCTCCTGGTTTAAGAGTAAAAAGGAACAAACAGTAATAATTAAAAAAGTTATATTAGTGCTTAGTGAATAGTGACTGACAATTAATAAAGCCCATTTCAATTTTTATGTACTGAGAATGAAAGGAAAGAATAGAACAGAACTTGCACAAAAGAGACTAGAGATACTTGCATAGTTAGCCTCTTCAGTTCATCTCGCCATCCTCTCGACTCATAATAGTTTTATATATGGTGATCTGTTCACGCTCTTCTCCATTATTGGAAGCATTTTACAAAAAGAAAACGAACATACTGCTTAGGATTGCTGAACTAGAAAAGGCATAATGACCAAGAGTTTACAAGCAATTTTCCTTCCTAAATTCTTTTGGGCAAAGTCATTTGGACAAAGTAGGCAAGATTTTGCCAAGTGAAAAACCAGAGAGCTTCAAGTTGGACATCCTCTTCTCCTTACAAACATATATATAAGCTTACCAGTTTTCTGATGTACCGGCCTCTTCTTATCCTTTTAATAGTGTTGTCCTCTTCCATAGCTCCCCTGTGCAGGACCTGCAGAATTGCCCCACCAGAAAAGTTAGTATTATTCTTTGTCATCTCCATTTCTGAAGTTTCCATCACCAGTTACCTCAACCAGACTTTCCAAACGCTTCTGCATCTTCCTCTGTATTAAACATCGCATGCACTGTTGAAAAGATGTGAGCAGAAGTGTACAGTGGTCATTGTTAGTTGCCTGGGGAGTTTGAGGTAAAAGGAAGGGAGTGGGTGCTTGAGGCATAATGACAATGGCTCGATAATCAGTAGCTTGAAGCAACGTACCAGAAAAGCCTGAGAGTGCTGCCATAGATGAAGGGGATATCAACTCCTTTCGCTGCAATAGTAGTTGCAACTGCAGGCCTTAATCTGTAAATAGGTGTGGAAGAATAGACGAAACCATGAAAATCATAGTTTACAACTTCTTAGTTCCGCCTAAAGCATCAGTAGCAAAACACTGTTCTTAAATGGTTCAACATGCAGTAACTCAAGCACATAATAAGAGTAAAAGGTAGCAAAACTAGACCTCAGCAAACCCATACCACTATCTTCCAGTCTGGCTTGTAAATGAGATCGTAGTTGTGCCCCACTAAAACTTCAGATGAATGTATTCCCTACAAAAGAGAAGTTCAATTCTCTACTATACTTAAACTCCGTAATAAGTTAACGAAATGAAAATGGGAGTCTATGGTGCAAGGTCCTATACTTACTGTGAGTGCATCATCCATGCTTATTGCTTCCAGTAAGTCTCTAGCGACATGTTCTGATGGGGGGCATTGAGTTCAATGCGAGTGCCAAATGAGTATTTTGAGTTCAATATGAGAAATCATCTCCTTAAAAATCAACATATCAAACAGACATTCGAAGAACAAATGCCATCCCCTGCTGACAATCCAATTCTTCTCCTATCCCAAATTGGATTGTGTACTTCATCCCTGTATCAGCTCTGATACTATAGCCAATCCACCACACATCATTACACCTTATGATAGACATTATGTACAGACAGTAAGACATCACCGCTGCTTTCGAAGAACTAATTCTCCTATACCCAACTGCTTTCACATTAAGCAAGAAACAATAAAACATCACCACAATGAAGCCATTATGCAAAAACGAAGTTCCATAATCAGTATATGTGCATAGAATACTCTTCTTAATTTAAAAGTATAGAAGACTGTCACTATGGAGGAGTTTGTTCTTCAGTTAGTAGGTTCAGATATTGAAGCAACTACTTATTCGTCCTGCCACCAACTAAAGATGGGATCAAGACCATAAGCCTTAAAAGTCCCGTATGATCTGGGACCATTGCCTAGTTGGACTATGGTTAATTCCACTTTGATTAATTATCCTAAACCAGCAGCCTACAGTTTATTTCAGTTGTATTAAGCTGTCTTATAGGAGCCTCATTTAGACTTCTCTCAGCTATAGCAGCCGCATTTAGGAGATAGGAACAAGGACTTGTACATTCACACTGTTTTGTAGTGGTTTTGCTGCATTATTAGATTGCTTAGAAGTGAATTTTTTATCAGTTTTATCAAAGTAGCAGAGGATTGGGTCAAAGGATACCTGTAGAAGCGAGAAGATGACTGAAAGAATGTAACTGTGAAGCACCATGGGAACATAGACTGTTCCAACCATTGTGTCTATGAATCCCAATGTCAAGTGAAGCCTCTGTTAATAAGATAAAACATCAGTAAAACCCGTCATTAAGAATTTTATTGCTCCATAGGAGGATTAATTAGTAAAAAGTGCCTCCTTGGAAAACATATGTAGAAGCTGCTCCTTGGGGCTCTTAGAGGGAAAAACAAACCAACTATGAAAGCACATCTAAAGCAAGTTGCATCCAACTCATACTAAGCTTCCAGTTGTGGCATTTAGTCTATATACCATTAGATAAATCATGATGAATTCGAAAGTAAGCAGCAAAAGAACTGGAACCTCAGAATCCCACAGTTACTCCTGCATTTTCATCCCTGAATTAGGGCTAATAAGAGTATGCAGATCAACGGGTAGTGAACGATCCAAAACATGCCAGAATTCAACATTATTCAGAGAAAACGATTCGGTTGAATTAAGAAGAATAATTGGTACAAGAATGGAGGGGAGAGAGCGATACCAGTCAATCTGAGGATAGAGGCTCCGTTGGAGACGGCAATACCAAAAGAGGGAAAGATGCAAGGAGAGGCCCTAATGAAAGCTCGAGCCCAGCAACTAGCATCAATCCTCTTAGGATTGAACACAACGAGAGACTTGGCTTCACTGTGGCTACCAATAATGTCTGCTCTTCTAGCAATAGATATCTGCTTCTTCGTTTTCTTTCTCTAAAGAATCCATGACCGAGAGGAAACCTAGAGTGAGAATACTTCCCCCACGACCTCTGACTCCCCTGCCATATCTCCCTTGCGCCGCCGCGTTGCAGAATACGATCCAATCCGTCGTCAACTATCATCCGGCTTCGATTAGATCCCAATCCCCTAGAAAAGGTATCGCAAATTCAAGATCGAAAACTGAATCCAACTCATCTACCGCTTAGAATAGGAATGATTTTAGGTTTGGATTTAACCTTGGAGCAGGTAGGTTTGCAGAGGTAAGCGACGGTAAAGCCGGCTGCGGGAGCGGCGGTAGGACGACGGCGCAAGGACGAGGCAAGTGGACGAAACAGATAGCGTTGGAGATTCACCATCTTTGATTTGGTTATGCGCAGACAGAAGGAAGCCTCAGCGAGGAGACTGACTAGCGGTGGTAGAAAGGAGGAGAGCAGATGTTTGGCCTTAGAGATTCATCGATTCACCGTCCTCCATTTTGCTGGAGTTTTGAATCAGAATCGGAACAAACATTTAGGTCTAGAAAAACAGAGAGAAGGAGAAACAGGAAACCTCTGTTGGTCGGGGAAGTGAGAAATGAGAAGTGAGCAGTGAGCTATAAAAAGTTAAGGGTTATAGATATAATATGGCCCTCTACTATGACGTTTTATCAAACACGCCCCTCTACTATTTTTTACATCAAACATGCCCCTGTACTTTGTAAAAATGATCAAACATGCTTTTTTGTTAAAATTTTCATCAAAAAACCGTTAACCAAGGTCGAACTTTAGTTTGGGCGACACAAATGACTAAAATAACCCTTATAAATTCACTTTAGAATTTTTTTGGTTCTTTTGTATAATCAAATCATTCAAATAATTTCACTTTGAAAAGACCCAGTGAAATAAAACAGGGGACAAAACTGACATTTTCCCTCCCATTTGCCGATGTCGGGTCGTCTAAATCTCAATTCAACCATGATTGGCGATTTTTTCAATGGAAATTTTAACAGAAGGGCATGATTGATAATTTTTTCAAAGTACAGGGGCATATTTGATGTAAAAAATAGTAGAGGGGCATGTTTGATAAAACGTCATAGTAGAGGCATATTATACCTATAACCCAAAAGTTAAATAAAGATAATAACCAATAAAATTGGTTGGAATTCATATTTCAGTATCCATTATCCAGTACCGTTGAGTTAGTAACCAATTTAGTATTTTTAGGTGACCAAAAATTTTAGCGGCTTTAACAGAGTAGGAAATAACAATAAGAATTTTTGGTTACCAAAAATATTTCATTGTTTTGTAACCAATACTATTGGTCAGGTAAGTTTTAATTTGGCTGTAAATAAGTTTGCTTTAGTTAGTAACCAATTCATTTAAAAATTCACTACCAAAATATAATTAGTTACATATAGTATGTCTTTGGCAACCAAAACAAAAATAGTTGCATGAAAATGGTTACAAAATGCAGTTTTTGTTGTAGTGAATGTTCGAAACTACCAACCTTCATTGTGTTGGTTTGTTGGATAGGGAGTGATGAAGACCATGAATGTGAACAAACTGACATCTGCTGGTTGCAAAGTGAAGATTTGGATTGCGGATTGGTTCGCCCAGCTTAATAACAAAATGGGTGGCGACCTGAAGAAGATACGGGTAGTTGGGGAGTACTTGGATTGAGATATGGAAGTCTGTTGGAATGGATCTCGAGAGTGGGAATGTTGAGTTCCTAGAATACGGAGGTAAGCCAATGCTAAAAGTTTCATGCCCTCTTCTCAATTCAATTAATTGTATGGCAAAGTTTAGAAATAAGCCTCTGGTGCTGCTGAATCAAACTCCTCGGTTCCTTAGCTGTGCTCAAATTATGGGTTGCTCTGAGAAGGATGATGACTTGACAGCTGCTCAAATTCTGTACCCGTGTATGTGTTGGATCGTTGAGCGCGAGACGATACACTGAGATGATCACTTGAGTGTTTAATCTAGGTCAACTAATTGCCTGCACCCACTTTCATCGATCTCTTTACCAAGAACAAGTGAGATCAGAAAATTTAGGGTTTTGGCAATGAGTAAAGAAGATTGTAAAAACGATTGAATAACTGAGGACTAAATCGGATCGAAACGTTTCTCCCAACTCCTAAAGCAATCTAACCGAAAGCCCAGCCCGCTTTAGTAAGCTTAGCCCAAATTCCCAAATTAATTAAACTCACAGTTTTATTGAGTTACGCTGCGTTTTGTGGATTCATAAGAAGAGTTCACCTTCTTCTTCCTCTGGCCAATTCACCTGCTCTGTTTCCTGCAAAGTACAAGTACCAAAAACAAGCAAATAAACAAAGAACAGAATTCAACACACAGCAGCGAGACACACACGAATTTTTACGTGGTATCCGACTTGCAAAATGCAAAGTCGACTAATCCACGGTCAGAAGCTCACGATCCTGTGACTTCTGACTTTTCACTATCTTGGTGTTTATATGATGAAGTGCAATTCAACAGAGAATCCTCTCTGCGCTCTCGAACTATTCTAACCCAGCTATCCAGCTACTGTGTTTCCCCAACACTTTACACTTGTGCTAAAATTCTCCCCGAATCAGCCAAGCCCTCTTTTCTTATCAAAACAACACTAGCTAGTATCCTTAAGCTCTCCTGGTTACTTTGATTTCCGAAAAGTGGTCTCTATCTGCCTCTGGCTGAGTTACTTATACTTAGCCCCTTCTTCTTGATTTCTGCCCGTTGGTAATTGATTGATTATGATCTCCGGAGACCAAGTTACTTTCCTTCTTTGATTCCCAAGATGCTTCTTTCCATCTTTGGTTTACAGCAATTCATTCTTTCCTTGTTCACTCTCAAGACCAGCAGCCTGCTTCTACCAATCTTCTATTTGCAACGGTTCTTCTTAAGCTCTTTCTTTATTTTCCTTCAGAGCCGATGACTGGCTTCTTCCAACAGTATGCAATGTGCCGACATATTTTTCCTCAAGGTGCTTTCCTATGCCATCTTTCAGCAATGTTCTTTATCTGTACTTGTATCAGACTGTATGCTATTAGATCTGTGGCACAGTGGCTGTCAGAATTTAGTGGTTTAATTGGCTTTATCATGCCGGCTGATATTTGTCAACTAGGAACAGATCAACGCGAAGTGAACGTGCTGGCAAGAGAATACTGCGATGATATCAAGAGCAAAAACAAGCCAGTCATCTTGTCCCATCGTCAGCTCCTTGTTCCTTTCTGGAAATTCAGTTTGCATTGTTCCAGAACTCTCATTGTCCTGGTTGTTCTACTGTGAATGCAGACATGTTACCTGGTTTACAGAAAGGACAAGAGAAGATGTCAAAAAAGCGATCCCTCCTCTGCGATTTACATGGAGGACAGTGAGGTAATCCAGCTGCTTTAATATAAGAGAAGCAGGTGATACATGGGTATTGGAGTAATCGATTATTTTTCCTACGTATTGATAGGGAGAAGTAAATGTCAAGATAAAGAAGGCTTTCTGTCCTACGGATGTTGAAAACAATCCTTGCCTGGAGTACATCAAATACATAGTTTTGCCTTGGTTTAATGAATTCAAGGTGGAACGCGCTCCACAAAATGGCGGAGATAAGTGCGTGCTTGCAATAACTCTAGTAAACCCAGGAGTAGTTATAACCAATATAGTCAAAAGCTAGCTTTAAAACCTAAAATCCTACGTTTTTACCCTTTGGAACCCCCGAATATTGTAGTTTTTGTTCAGAAAGTCTTTTGCATCAAAAGCCCAAGTAAAAACCCTCAATCCCAGTAAAATAATCTAGATCGGCCAATTGTTCCCGAATAGCACCGGCTCCAGCAGAAATTTCTCGATTTTGAAATGTATCGAAGCCCTGGGTAGTAAAAAATAAGCCTTAGAAGCTAGCTTTTGAACGCTTCTCAACGCTTTTGATATCCGAGTATGAGGATCATATTTGGTCGTGTTTGGTTCAATTTTTTGGACAAAAGAGAAAAATGATGTAGTCTTATATGTTTTCTAGTCTGGTCATCCTTTCAGTCTTTGTTTTTATGAATTTATCATCCCTAATTCACCGCCACTTTTCCACATTCTCATATTTTCTCTGCCTCCAAAACCACATGTCACATCCAAAGTCCTGCCTCCAACGCTTTTCCCATAGTTTTCCGCAACATGCATCCAACTTCCTCTTAGTAGGCTCCCACTGCGACAATAACTTGGACATCTTCACTCGATGTATCAACCCTTCCCATCCCTATAACTCCTATCCCACCTCTATGATTATGTTGTCGTCAAAGCTCATCTCCTTCAGCCTCACATTTTGCCACTTTCACTTATTAGTGGAGCTTATCTAGAGCTCTTCTAACTTCATCATTTGTTGTTGGTTTCCTTTTCTCAAATTTTTTTTTTTTTTTTTTTTGTCTAGAAAGCAAGAGAAAGGTGGTGAATTCTTGTTTAAAGGCCTATTAATTTAATTTATGTTTATGAGAGTAATATATTAAATGAGCTAGTTCGTCTCTCTATTCATATTTTGCAAAATACAAGTTATGGTTAAAATATCTTGATACTAATTAAAGATATAAGATGGTTACTGTTGCATAAGAGAAAGTTTAGAATGACCGGTGGGTTTTAAATTAGAAATGACAGCTTGCTTATCAATAAACACGTGTCTATGCTATAGTCTCCTTTTTCTCTTGGTGTTTCGCTGCTCTTTACTCTCGAGTTGATTTTAAATCAATTAATCCAACTCGATTTACGCCCTGGAGAACCTTCAGTCATCTCCTACAGCTTTCTTAACCGTTTTTCCACTTCCTCTTATTCTCGGTCGACATGCAAAACGCAATTTGTGGGTCTTTTGGCTTTTAATCTGTTCGCCCTCTTATTTGGTTTCTGGAGGCGTGATAGACCCCATTCAAAATCGATAACAAAGAGCCTGCAAAATCCATCAAAGCTTTCTAGATAAAGGAAAATCGAAAATAGGAAAAGGAAAACCTATACACCTCTTTCTATTTGATCTAATTTTCCAATTTATGCATATTTGAAATAAGAAATTAGAAAAATAAGTGCCTTCATCGGCTCATCATCCCCTGAAGCGCAACCGCCGGCGTGAAATCTCCGGATCCCAATTAAAAAAAACACGCAGACAGACTATTCCCATAAGCTCGGTTATTGATGTACAAATACCTTCATCCCCATTGAAACAACTAATCGAAATGCAGTAAGGGTGCGTTTGGATAAGTGGATTTTAAATGTAAGGTATTTGAAATATTAGCATTTGAAATGGATGTATTCGAAATATTAGCATTTGAAATACATGTAATTCAAATTCATTGTTTGGATACTCATTTGTAATTTGTTTGTATTTTGTATTTTATGATTTTCAATTTCAATTTTTAATTTTCTGGTCACTTACTACAAATTTTGGTAAATTACAGTTTGGTACCCAAAATTATTTTTTCTTACAATTTAGTACATGAACTTTTAAAATTTTACAAAAAGGTCCTGAAATTTTTATGGTAAAATTACATTTTGGTACCTTTATATGTTTTGCCTCACACTATAGTACCTAAACTTTTCATATTTTACAAATAGGTCCATTCTTTTGTTAGGAGGTATTTCAAATC